GTCTAAGTCGGGTTTGCGGCCATGGGTTTGTGGACTGATCGGTGTGGAGTCAGCCCCAGGCCCCGAAGGTGTGCCAGGTCATGGCAACCTGAGTCCGTTTGGGTTTCACCGTCTGGCCCCCACTAGCGGCCGAGCGGACTAAGCCATATCCTCAAGAATCCAACAAGAACTCTTCACCCTAAACCCGAATCCGAATCCGAGATTCGTGCCTCTTCCCCAGCCCTCCAGCCACTTGGTCTACTTGAAAGTTGACGCCCCTAGGCTACGCTGCGCCGGACGGCTCCGTGCGAATCGCAGAGGCTGGTGGCTAAAGTAGGGGCCTAAATAATTATATTATTTCGAGGGTTCCTTATTATATTTATAGTATAATAGGCCCCAAAACCCTATTCTAATTCAGGCCCCTAGATTAATTCAAGCAACCCCCGTTTCCTCCACTATTCAGAGTTTAGAGCTGAGGGTCCATTACGATCGTGACAGGAGAACCCCAAATTTGCAACAGTATCGGTAGCAGTTTTTAGTAGCAAAGCTTGGGGAGATCGGGTAAGAGTGCCGTCTAAGTGCAAAAATCAGCTCTTCATCCGCGTCTGCGCAGCACAAAGTTTGAACTGAAACTGCTGACAGCCTCACATCGCATTGGGAGGTTTTCGGTGCGCCATTTGCAGCACTTGTGGGCGGCGGGCGCCGCGGCTGTGAAGCTGTCTTGGACCCTTTTATAAGCCTGCCTGTAGTCTCCATTGTAGTTGCTTTTTGGGGTTACCTCGCAGGATCCTAACTATAAAGCTGATTTAACCAAAAGAAGGAACTACAATGGAGACTCCAGGTAGACCCTAAACTGTTTCAGGGCCTAGGCCAGCGGATTAGGATTTGGGGAATTCAGCCTTCGGATTTTCTTGGCGTGTCCTGGGACGTCCACGGAATGTTCTCATTTAGGGTTTAGGGTGTAGGGTTTAGAGTTCAGTTCGGTACGATGAGGCAGATTTGCGGATTAGATGAGACCTGCGGATTAGATTAAGGCCCGCCGGCAATGAAATACTTGGAAATTCTTCAGAGGCGCACTTGCCAAGCGTGACACGAATACATGTACAAGCTTGAGCACATGAAGATGTCCATTGGTAGAGAACCCGCGCGCGTATTACGTGCGACTAAGCCGGTAATATAGGGGCCAAAAAAAATCCCTATGCTTTTTTCGGGGGTTCCCTGTTATACTTATAGCAAAATATGTACCAAAACCCTTTTCATTTTATCAGGCCCCTAAGAAGATTTTAGTGCCCAAAGAGGATCGGAGTTTTATGAAAGGCTCATGGCATAAGAAGGCGGCAGCAGGATGGTTTACCTCTACGGTTTGGGGTTTAGGGTTTAGGGCTTAGGGTTCGACGTCAGTTTAGTGTAAGTTACGTGTATGTACGAAGGTGGCTTTGATCTAGGTTGATTTAGCGGCACGATCCAGGATGACCTGTACTCCATGGACATTTTGTGGAAATGCAAGCGGCATAGTAGATGAAGTCTACAATAAGTTTTGACGTATGTACATGAGTTTAAGAAGGTAATGGTAAGCTATTCCAAACCTGGACTGTAGAACATTCTGCAAGGGTTTATAGATACTACATTCATCATGGAATATGCAACCGACATGTAACTACAGCAACATTGCCCTCATCCGCACACAGGAGTATAGCGCCGACATAGAACAGCAGAACAATCTCGCATTGTGAAGGCAGGACAAACTGAGGAACAGAGGCTTACACAGATGCACAATAATCCTAGCATATGACTCCGGTGATGTACCGTTTCTGTTGTGATTTCGCTGTAGATTAAGCTAGAGCGCCAGAGTCTGCTGCAATCGGCAATGAAAAGCTCAACTGAGGCATCCTCCCCTTGCCTAGTGGGGTCGGAACATATTATACCGCTGAATATAAAGTGCACGCAATTTCAGTGGTAATGCAGTATGCAGTGATAAAAGATCACAGTATCAACAAGCCAGTCATGTAGCAAGCAAGCATCCAGACCCACATGCAGATGCTAAGCAGCTTATCATGCCATGGGATGGCTTCCCTCAGAGCTACACTGGCCTTCCAAAGCCTTGAAACCCCAAAGCAAGACCTGTACGCCTGGTGCATGGACCCTTTACTCGAGAGCATTAGTGAAATATCCTTAAAACCCTTAAATCCCCAACTGGACGAGGCACAATGTGACGGCGCAGGTGTCGGAGGGCTTCTTCCTGGGCTTCACTGTGCAGCTGCTTGCGGATTGCATTTCTTTGTCAGGGTTTTAGGATTTCATTAAGTGTCCAGGGGCGGTTTAGGATGCCTGTTGGTTTGGGGTTTCGGGCTCAGGATTTTGGTTCCTTTGTCGGTGACACTCAGCTCATCCAACGGTAAACCAGTACTTCGCACTTGAAGGATAAAAGTGGAGATGGGGCTATAGAGACCACTAGACTACTACATCGGCCTTGTAGAACAGAGCCGTGCTTGCCTAAACCCTAAACCCTAAACCCTAAACCCCTAAACCCTAAACCCTAAACCGTGCTAAGTATCGTGATCGTTTCATCAGCTGAGGCCTTTCACGGCGGGGGCCGAACTGGTCGTTTCGGCACGAAGCTCAGCACACTTCTTCTGGCCAAGGGCCGAGGTCTAGTCAGGTTTCCAGAATTGGTTTGATGTAGGGGCCTTAATGATCAGAATAGGGTTCTAGGGAGTTCCTTATTATAACTGTAGTATTATCTCAGCAACAGACCCCAACAGCGATGGAAAAACATACCGTTTGGTTCAATTTGGCGCTATGGTCTGTGTAAGAAAAACTTTCAGTCTACATCCTAACACCTAAACCCTAAACCCTAAACTCTAAACCCTGAACCCGGACCACTGTCAAAGCCCTTCGCTGGAGCACCAGTTGAGGACTGCTTTGGAGGCCAAGTTTGGCCAGCTTATG